GGCTGCTGCTCTCCTGGCTACACGGTCTCAGCCCTTGGTGGGAGGTCGCCTTGTGCTGTAATTGGGGTTGGCAGACGGGGCCTCTCTCGCCCCCAGCTGGCGTCCATCGTGGTCGTGTGGTGCGCCGTGCTGGCAGACGTGCAGAAGGGAGTCTGTGATGGATTAGCGATGTCTGTCCTGGGCTGGCGGGAGAAGGTGGGAGCAAAAGCGCCCAGGCTTGAGAACCCATCTGGGGCTCAGACGGTCTTCTGCTATGATCCGATACCTGTAATGGACGGTAGGGCTGGGTCTGCTTCTGGCTTTTTACTCGTTCTTGTTAGTGGCTGACTTCTCGGCTTGTATTAAACTCAGGCCAGCCAAAAAGGTCCCCCAGTCTTTTTCATAAGAACAGCCATCAAGCTAAACCTTCCCCCATCTTGACGTTGTTTCCAGTATATTGATATATAATTAATTTAAATCAATCCCTTGTTGACAGGCACTTAGATTATTTCCAAGCTTTTATAATTAGAAACAACACTGCGGTGGAATTCCTCGTACTCGCCTCTTTGCGTATTGGTCTTATTTCCTTCGCGTGGGCCTCCAGAAAAGGGATTTTGCTGGATCAGGAGCGTTTTCTCAGAGCGCTGGCACCAGCCTTAGCTGTCATGGAACGTCCCGGAAACTCTAAACTGTCAGGGAATGGCAGGGACTTGGGAAGGCGCCTGCCCATTCCTAGATTTGCACATGGCCCGGGAGTCTGTGCATGATCACGAATTCCAGTGTGCAGCTGAGGACCAACTCGGGGGTGTCCGGTCCTGGCTGATGGACAAAGGCTTTGGGAGAAGCTTCCCCAAGAGAGAAAGAGGACCTGGGTGGCGAGAGGTGGAGCTCCCGTCCGTCGAGCGCGGTGGTGAGGAAGAGGCGTGCAGGGCAGGCTGGGCGCCGGGCCAGAGATCTGTGTCCCTGGGGCAGCCTGCAGTGGGCATCCTGCTGTGGGGTGCCTCTTCTGCTCAGGGGACAGACCCTTCTCCCCCAGGAAGGAGCTGGGGGCAGAGGCGAGTGCTAACCAGGACAGAGGGGCTTCGAGCCCTGAGCTCCAGGATGTGGGTAAACGTCTCCATGGGTTCCGGTCAAGCACCTGCAGGACTGAAGGCCAATGACCAGGTCTAGCTGCTGCCCTGAAATATTTAGAGCAGCGTGTCCTGAGAGCATCTGTTGCTGCCCGCGCTTGTCGTCAGCAGGCGTTTCACGTCAGACGTTGTCCTTGTGTTCACCAGGGGTTTGGCTGTGGTTAAGGAGACTCTCTCGGTGTCTAATACCGTGTCGCTTGTGTTTGGGACCATGAAGGAGTGATGTTCTCTGGCTCAAGACGGGTTCTTACACTACGTGCTCTGCTCGCTTTTGTCCACTCATTTCTTGGAGGACAGTGAGTCATGCTGGTTGCAGTAGGATGGCCTGGCCATTTCTTAATCGGGATGGTTTGAGGTTTGGATTTGGGGCGTGCAAGGGCTGCCACACTGCACAGCTCAAGGGACCCCATTCACGTAGATTCGGCAGGACTTGGTGACAGATGGAATGGGGTGAGGCCCCATTCCATCTGTCCCCAAGGGGGGTTTGGCCGTCGGGGAGGGACTAACTTGGTGACTCAGCTCAGGACTCTGGCTCCGTCACTGCATGGTGATGGGCGACCGTCACCGGTTAGGTTTGGGGCAGGTGGGGTGTACCGGCGGGGGTGATGTAAGAAGCCACATTCCGGGACCGGCAGGTGGCTGGCCTGGGAAGTGCCTGCACTCACTCGGCAGGTGTCGCTGGGCCCCGTTAGTCTGGCACATGTGTCAGCATTTGGGGAGCGTCAGCCAGCAACGCAGAAAAATGACCCATGTCCTCACAGGGCTCCGATACTGATGTGGGGGGCCAGACGGCAAAGGAAAGACAGGAAGAATACATCACACTCTACAGCGTGCTGGTGGGCAGACCACTGAGTGTGGGACTAGGGATGCTGGGGAGAGGGCTGTGTGGTTTTAACTTGGGCGAGTAGTGGGGGCCTCATTGGAAGGCGGCACTGAGTAAAGACCCAAGGGAGGTGAAGGTGTGGTGCGTGCTGAGATCCGGAGAACGGCGTCCCAGGCAGACGGAACAGCCAGGGCAAAGGCCCTGAGGCCTGCCTGGCCCCTTGGAGGAGGGAGGAAGGAAGCCAGTGAGGCTGGAATAGAATGAGCAGGCGGAAGAGGGGCCGGCGTGCAGTCAGCCGAGGTCAGGCCTGAAGGGCATTGCAAGAAGGACGGTGTCTTCCCAGTGTGACGGGGAGCAGGGAGGCCCTCGATGTGGCTCCCGTTTGGTCAGGATTGCTCTGACTGCCGTGGGGAGAAGAGAGGCGGGGGCATGAGTGATAATCCGGGGAGCCGTGGTGGCGGTGGCCTGGAACACCTGCTGACAAGTGGGCAGGTAGGGGTGTTTCGAAGGTCGGGCTCACAGGGGAGAGGAGGCTGCAGGTGACTGTCAGCCCCTTCTCTTGGCCTGGAAGGAGGCCTGGCCCTCTCCACCAGGCACCTTCTGAAACCTGCTGGCTTGAGACGGTCGGGAGCCAGGTCATGGGCAGAGCAGGAACCCCGGGCTGGCACAGCCCCAGAAAGCCCTGGCATCCCCCCAAGCACCTCCATCCCCATCCGATCCCGAGTGCGCCCCTCCTGCTGGGGCCCAGCCTCCACACGGAGGGACTCCGCACAGATGTCCTGTCCATGAGCTCAGGCGGGCGGCCAGGCCTGGCCCCTCCGCAGGGCAGAGCATGGCCGTGGGTCGGGGGCAGTCCCCTGCCTGTCCTTCCTCAGCTCCCTCTGCCCCAGCCAGACCAGCCCGGCCCGGCCCACTGCGGGGGGATAGGGGGACGGCCTTTCACCTGTTGACACCTGTTCACGTCGCTCCGAGATCAGGTGAGCGCGGGCGGGGTAGGGGTAAGGGGCCAAACCCCTTCCCTGTGAGGGTGGACACCCCCTTTGTCGGGGGGTGTCGGGCGCTGGGGGAGAGTCCAGGCCCCCAGCAGGAGGGGCCCGTGAGGCACGGAGGGACTTCCCGCTCGGACCTGCACAGAACCCGCCCTGTCTCCGTGGCCTCTGCAGACTCAGGGCTCAGAGATGATTTAAAATCCTGGCGAGCTGAGCCCCGGCTGCTTCTCCTCAAGGACACGGTTCTGTTTGCTGTCACCCTCTTGCTGGGAAAGACAGAAGAGGCTCTGACAGAAGTGCTTCCAGGGGAGGCGTGGCGCAGGCCGGGGCTCCGGTCGGCCGCGGGCACCTCCGGGGCGTCCATCACCTCTGGGGCCCGTGGGCTCCTTCACTCTCCCCTGCAGCTGTCCGTCCCGGGTGGTGGGCCTTATCAGGAGAACGGGAGAGTCTGCAGTGCTGCCCGTCCCTGTCCCCGTCCGCCACCCCACACAGGCCCACGAGGCCCCGAGGAAGCTGCTTGCCGGGTGACCACGAGCGGCCAAGGAGGGTCTCGAGTGGTGGTGGGCCTGGGGCACCGAGAGCGGCCCACCTGGGTCACGGACAGGGGCCAGGCCTTGCAATGAGCGTGAGCCCTTGACTCACAGCCGCATTGAGGCCAGGCACCCAGGACTCTTCCCCGCGGAAGGACCCTCATCACACTCCAGCTCCTGGGCACCGGCTGGGACGTCCTCTGCTGCAGGAGACCCGCTGTGTGTCCCCGCGGGCCAGAGCGGAAGGCCTGCACTCTTCTTAGACGGCCTGCCGGGCAGCACGTGCTGGGCTTTACAGCCAGGCCGGCTGGGGTGTGCTGGCTCCAGGGCCTCCGTGCCCATGCCCCCTCCCCAGGAGGCATGTTACATGCTGGGCAGTTGGCTCTGCAGGCCCTGGGACCCGTGGGGACAGTGGGAGAGGAGCTGGGCAGGTGGGCCAGTCACAGAGGCTGCTGAATGCAGGGCATTCCCACTGTTCTGAAGGCAGGACTCTGGAGGACGGACTGTAGCTCACGGGGTCTGTGAGCCCTTCCCTCCTCTGGGCCACTTCCAGAGGGACCCCACCCTGGCCCCAGGGATCCGATGGACCGGGGAGTGGCAGGGCGCCTCGGGAGAGGCCTCCAGAAGCTGCCAGAAACTCGGTTGCATGTTTCTCCCTGCTCTCTGTGTCCCAGGTCTTCTAAGGTCATGAGTTCGGGATGAGTAAGCCACCCCTCTGTCCCCCCACCAGGCACTTGGAAGGTTGAGGGATCTGCACAGGCCTGGGACGAGGGCGGTGGGGTGGAGGGGAGCCCCCGGTGTTGGGCTTTAATCCCAACTCACCTAGTTCTACCTGTGCAACCTCGGACAAGGCCTGTGCTGTGTGGGCCTCAGTCTCCTCACCTGGAAAAGGGGTTAATAATCTGTCCTCCGGAGGGCTAATCTTGCCTTCAGGGACACCAGTCAGTTTGATTAGGACCCTCATGACCTCATTTTAACTCAATTACCTCCTTAAAGACAATCTCCAAATGCAGACACATTCTGAGGTGCCTGGCTAACTGTTAGGGCTTGAAGTATGCAAATGTTGGTGGGGAGGGACCAGTTCAGCCCATAACAAACACCAGCACAATGCCTGACCCTCCCGTAGGTATGCAGTGAAGACTCATTTTGTTAATTATTGTTTTTTGTTTTTTTTATAAAAAAGAGTGGTTTACTTAAACCAGGCAGTGGGAGTGAGGGAGTGGAGGGGACGGGACCCGCTGTCCGTCAGTGAATGTCACTAGGCACCTGCTCTGGGCCGGGCCCGCTCGAGGTCCTGGGCTCGTCAGTGGACCCACGGGGCCGACCTTCCCGTGGGAGACGCACAGTGAACAGAGTCCTTCAGGGAGGGGTGTTGGCTGTGAGGAGGGGCGAGCTGTACAGAGAAAGTGGAATCACCGCAAGGGGAGGCGAGGGTCACGGCCCTCGGCCTCCGCCGCCCCTGGGGACCACCTGTAGAAGGGTGGGGGGACGCCTGCGGGGCCCCGGGCTCTGGTTTCCCACTCACCGGAGGCCCGTCCTCTCTCTGCAGTGTCGAGGGCGAGGCCCCCAGCAGCGAGACTGGCACGTCGCTGGACAGCCCCTCCGCCTACCACCAGGGCCCCTCGGCGCCCGGCTCCGGCCTGGGCCCGGACCACTCCGAGCACACGCCAGGGGGCGCCTATGGGCTGTATGCGGGGCCGCCCGGGCAGCAGCGCACGCGGAGGCCCAAGCTGCAGCACTCGACCTCCATCCTGCGCAAGCAGGCCGAGGAGGAGGCTATCAAGCGCTCACGGTCCCTCTCCGAGAGCTATGAGCTCTCCTCCGACCTGCAGGACAAGCAGGTAGGCGGCCGGCCACGGGGGAGAGGCGTTGGGGGTTGGGGGAGGCTGCGGTGCCTGCGCGGCCTCGGACGACGCGGCCCTTTGCTGGGGCCGCCCAGGGCCGCGGGGGACCCCCGTGTGCTCCACAGCCGCGCCCAGGCAGGGGCTGTTCCCCGCGGACGTGGCCTCTGCCTCAGCCCGGGCTGGCTCCTCCCGAAACGCGGAGGGTTCCGAGGGAAGGAGCCGATGTGGGACGTTCCTGTCCGGCCTCGGCCTCTGCCCGGTTCACAGCCCTCCTCGCTGGGCTCCGGGGCCCACGCTGGGTGTCAGGACCTGGTGCCACCAGTGCGCGTGGGTTCCGTGGCGGCCGTTGAGGTCCTGGGATCCAGGAGAGAGCTGAACCTTGGGAGGTCTGCAGGAGGGGCCCTCGGGGAGGGGACGGTCAGTTCACGGAAAGAGCACGTGCTCTGAACCGAACAGCGAGCCCGTCCCCAGCCAGTGAGGCCAGGCTGTTCATTCCACCCCTCAGTGTACAGCCCCGTGTCCTGGGGGAAATCGCCTCCTTGCAGGTTGCCCTTCCTCCCCGGAACCTTGGCCCAGACCCACTGTGGGGCTGGCACGTGTGTACAGAGCGACAGGCATGCATGACCTGCTCGCTTGGCCTCTTAGGTTGATGGGAGAGAGGGGAGGGGTCCCGGTTGGGTGGCAGGTGGGGGGCAGAGGGAGTGAGAGCTCATGAGGGGCCAGAGGCTCCTCGCTCCCAGCCCCTCAGAGTGCAGGCGCGTAGCAGGCACTGCACCGAGAATTCTTGTGTGAAGCTCTGACAGAAAGCTCCAGGCTTCAGGAGCACCCCCAGGCTGCCGGCGTGCGGGGCCGGCCTGCCTGTCGCCGTCCCCAGCTCCTGTGCCCTGAGCTGTGCACCGTCTCCTTGTGAGCCCGGGCGGCTGCCTCTGCCCCGGCCTGGCTGCAGGACCTGCCCGGCAGCCCCTCAAACACCAGGCTGCAGAAGTCGCCCTGCCCTCTCACCTCCCACACCTACCCTGGCCTGGACCCTCTGTTTGCTCCCCAGTCTAACTGTTTGTCTCTTACAGAGCAGAGGTCCGGGCCTGGTGTAGCCCCAGACTTCTGCGGGGAGCGGTGCGGTGTGTGGGTACTGCCCAGGGCGGGTCTTCCCCCGACACGGTCCGTACCGGCCCCCTCTCCCTGTTCTTGGTGCTGCCCTGTGGCCGTGGACAGCCCTGCCTACCTGCCCTGGTCTTCGTCTGTCCGCCCGTGAGTTGGGGCTGACGGGGGGTGGGGCCCACAAGTGGCCAAAGCCTGAAGCAGATGATCCCCGTCAGGCAAATATTGGGGAGCAAACAGACCCCTGGCCTCGTGGCGCTTGGCCTCGTGGCCAGGCCCACGGCAGGGGCCTCTGTTCCATTTATCAGTTTCGCCCATAGCCAAAGTGGATCAAAAACAGTTTATAGTACCAAACGTCTGCAGCAGGACCATTAAAATAGAAGTGGGAAAGGTTAAAACTTCAGAGAGGCCTGTGGAGGTAATCATGCTTCCTGCGGCCTTGATGTGGCCACAGCTGTTCATTTTCATCCCTCGCACATTAGCCCGATGCCCACCGTGTGCCAGACCCCGTGCTGGGCGCCGGGGAGTCACCAGGGAACAGAGTGCAGCCCCAGCCCTCAAGCAGATGCTGTGGTCCAGAGACAGGTTAACAGTAAAGACACAGGTTAATTCCAGAGCGTGATACAAACTCCGGGGATGAAGAAAGAGGGGAGAGAAGCTGAGCACCTGTGGGAGGAGACAGCTTGGATTAGTGCGGGGGACCTCTCCAAGGTGGTATCAGAACTGGGTGTTTGAGGACGGGGTCTTCCAGGAAGAGGTAACAGCAGGCACGAAGGCCAGAGGCAGAACCACTTGGCGGAAAGGATGGCCGGGAAGAGGAGAGGGGTGGGGAGGTGATGCTGAGGGCCACCGAGCATTCGACTCTCTGCTGAGCCTCCTGGCAGTCAAGGTGAAAATAGGAACAGGACAGATGACCCAGGAGTTTCCAGCTGAAGGTAGGGTGCCCGGTTCCACGAGGGGGTAGAGTCTGGGTGACGCAGAGCCCCATTTTAGTGGAAGGAGCCCAGTGCAAGGTCGTGCAGTGCCTGCTGGCCCTCAGCCTCCGCACCTCCTGGCAGTTTCCTGTCTGAGCAGGAGGCCTGAGTTGGCAAGGGTGGCACTTCAGCTTTGTGGGAGGGTGAGCCTCTCAGCTCCTCGTCCCCTCACTTGTCAGAGCCTCTGCCCCCCTCTGCAGGGGGCGGGGGACTTCCTGGGGTCCCTCTGCAGACCAGACGCTGTGTCAGGTGAGGGTGATGCCCAGCAGGTGAGCACAGACAGGTTGGGGTCCCTGCCCTGCACCCCCAGTTAGCGTTCAGACTGGGCCTTGGGTTGGTTCTGGCCCGGAAGGAAGAATGAGTGGCCACGGTGGGCCCGGGAGCTGAGTAGGAGCGGACCTGGGTCTGTGTGTCCCCTGGGGGGAGGCCGGGAGGAGGGGCTGAGGGGGCGTTGCCGACGCAGCACAGAGCCCACGTCTGCCTTCCCAAAGTCCCTCCTGTCCCCACCCAGACTTGGGGAACGGTCTCAGGCCAGGAGTGTCGCCCCTGGGGTCGCGAGATCCAGAGTCAGAAGGCGACAAGGAGCCGTAGAGCGCACTCTGACCTGTGCGGTGCCCCTCCTCCTCCCCACACGAGGGGCCCGGAGCCCAGGCCTTGGAGGGCGGAGAGGAGAGGGCTTCCCAGAGCTCAGCCGTGGGCCCTCTGCCGGCGCCGTGGACTTTCAGAGCTCCACTCCAAACCCAGAAAACAGACTCTGCTCACAGATGCGGAAGTGAGGTCATCTCTCTGGATGCCGTTCAGTAACTTCAGGACGAGAGGAAAAACAGACCCGCCCTGGCTGACTCCAGGGCCGGGCTTTGAAAAGTCATTTTGATCCTCACCCCGCCCCCCCAACTCCTCTCGTGCGAGGGGCCGCTCTGCCCTGCCTGCCGCTCCCCCTCCTGTGGGCCCCGGAGAGCTGCACGTCTGTGTCGCGGGCGGGGCTGGGGGGGCGAGCTGGCATCCCTCAGGGAGACCAGGACCCACCCTGAGTCCTGAGTGAGGCACGGAGCCTCCCTCCCCCTTCCGGCCCACCCTCAGGCGGCTCTGAGCAGCCGTCTGCCCCACTCAGCCATGGCCTGGGGTTTGCTCAGTGACGCGTGTGCCTCTGTTCTGGACGGCCTTGGCCTCTTGAGGGTGGGGACCTTGTCCCTCTGCCACCGGTGTGGGCGTGGCGCCTGCATGGAGCAGACAGCGGTGCTCTGCCCCCTCGGGATGTGAGCACACCTCACTCCCAGGGACCCGAGGCCTTTCCGCCCACATCAGGGGCCACTCTGCCCAGCACCCAAGGGCTCGGCTTGGCCGACCAGCCAGCTCCCTATCCTGGGCTTTCCCGGGTTCTGAAGAGCGGGCTCTGGCCTCACTCGGGAAGCAGGCACGGGGAGCGGCCCTTGGGGGCTGTCCGGAGTCCTCGGCCAGCATGAGTCTAGGACTTCACAGGCCCACGTGGCACACGGGAGTCCCAGCGCCCCTGCCTGCATGCAGCCCGGCCCCATCACCAGGCTCACAGAGCCCGCTCTGCGTCTGGAGGCCTCCAGGGGTGTGCTGGGCCCCTTTTCTGGGCCTCAGTTTCCCCATCTGTCACAGAGGGGACTCGGGGCCCCCCACAAACTGTCTACACCTCCCAGGAGTGCAGCTGAGGGTCCTGCACCTCCTCAGCCCCCAGCTGGCACGTGCCGAGGGCCTGTCTCACCTGTGCCCACCGCTGCCCTGCGAGGTCCGTCTGATGGGACTGAGCAACCGCAGGGTCCAAGGCTTCTCAGAGTCACTCCACTGCCAAGGGCGGGGCCAGGACTAGACCCAGGCCCTCGGGCAGTGCCGCAGGCGGAAGCGGGGCTGGAGGCCTGCGGCCAGTGCTCAGCACCCAGGGCCTGCTCGGGTCTCGGGCCCGTCTCTCGCTTTCATTCATTTATTTTTTTGGGCTGCATCTGGTCTTAGTTGCATTACGTGGGATCTTCCTTGCGGTGTGCGGGGTCCTCTGCTGCAGCGCACAGGCTCCTCGTAGCAGCGCACGGGCTTCTCTCTAGTTGTGGCCTGCGGGCTCAGTAGTTGCAGCGCGTGGGCTTCGTTGCCCTGCGGCGTGTGGGATCTTAGTTCCCTGACCAGGAATCGAACCCACGTCCCCTGCATTGGGAGGCGGATTCTTAACCACTGGACCGCCAGCGAAGCCCCTCGGGCCGGTCTCTTAACCTGCACCTGCCACGAGCTTCCTCTCTCTGGAGGGGCTGCCTGCACCTCTTCCACCACCTCCAAGTCTCATTCAACTGCATGCCCTAGGTACACCAGGGCCAAAGGCTACTCTGGCCAGAGAACTTTGGGAAACCACCACCCTTTAAAGGTTCTGAGAAGTCCTGCAGGGAACACTTGCTTTAACTGGGTCTGACCCCTGGGATGTGCTGGGCCTCCTGGGCCGTCCTCACGCTCCTCTCCTTCCCCCGCAGGTGGAGATGCTAGAACGGAAGTATGGGGGCCGCCTCGTGACCCGCCATGCGGCCCGCACCATCCAGACAGCCTTCCGCCAGTACCAGATGAACAAGAACTTTGAGCGGCTGCGCAGCTCCATGTCCGAGAACCGCATGTCGCGCCGCATCGTGCTGTCCAACATGAGGATGCAGTTCTCCTTCGAGGGGCCGGAGAAGGTGCACAGCTCCTACTTCGAGGGCAAGCAGGTCTCAGTGACCGACAAGGGTGCCCCGCTGGAGGCCCTGGTGCCGGCCGAGTGCAGAGACCTGGGCCCGCCGCCTGCCCTCCAGGCCCCTGCCCCGGCCGGCGACTTCGCAGATGCCATCACGGAGCTGGAGGACGCCTTCTCACGGCAGGTGAAGTCGCTGGCCGAGTCCATTGACGACGCGCTCAACTGCCGCAGCCTGCACACCGAGGGGGCCCCCGTGCCCGACGTGGGGCGGACCCGGGACGCCGAGCCCTCGCCGGCCCTGCATGGCGCCGAGCACCGCCAGCTGGACGAGATGACCGCCTCGTACAGCGATGTCACCCTGTACATCGACGAGGAGGAGCTGTCACCACCCCTGCCCCCGATGCAGGCGGGCCGCCGGCCGTCCAGCGCCGAGTCGGACCTGCGGCTGCGGCCCGGGGGTGCTGCCCAGGACTACTGGGCCCTGGCCCACAAGGACGACAAGGGGGACACAGACACCAGCTGCCGGAGCACGCCCTCGCTGGGGCCACAGGAGCCGCGGCTGCGCGGGGAGCACCTCCCGCTGCTCACCATCGAGCCGCCCAGCGACAGCTCCGTGGACCTCAGCGACCGCTCGGACCGCAGCTCGCTTAAGAGGCAGAGCGCCTACGAGCGCGGCCTGGGCGGGCCGCAGGGCAGCCCCAAGCACGGCCCCCATGGGCCCCCCAGGGGCCTCCCCCGGGAGGAGCCGGAGCCGCGGGCCCGGGCGCCCAGGCCCCTGGATGGCCACCTGGCCATCAATGGCTCGGCCAACAGGCAGAGCAAGTCCGAGTCGGACTACTCGGATGGGGACAACGACAGCCTGAACAGCACGTCCAACTCCAACGACACCATCAACTGCAGTTCCGAGTCTTCGTCCCGCGACAGCCTGCGCGAGCAGACACTCAGCAAGCAGACCTACCACAAGGAGACCCGCAACAGCTGGGACTCGCCCACCTTCAGCAACGACGTCATCCGCCGGCGGCACTACCGCATCGGCCTCAACCTCTTCAACAAGTGAGTCCCCGGCCGCCGGCGGCCCGGGCGGGATGAGGGGCGGCTCCGGGGTGGGGCCGGGGTGGGGGGCGCATGGTGTGGCGCCTGCTGTACTGCACTGGCGCCCGCGTCTGGCCCTGGGTGGTGCGGGCACGGGGGTCTTTGAGCAGGGGCGGGCCGGGTGCAGGTCCGTGCCCGTGTCCGTGCAGCCTGGACTCGGGCCCGCACCCGGGAGCAGGGCACTGGTAGGCCCTACGCCCTCTGGGAGATTGTACGTTGGGTCCGTGGCATGGCCGCCACGCCACATTCTGGCGAGGCGCCGTCGGGGCAGCCTTTAGAGCAGGTCTGGGGCAGGAGGCTGGTATTTAAAGCTCACTATTCTTAGCACAGCTGAAAATAGCAAGTGGAAGGGCAGGCGGGCTGAGCAGTCCCTCGGAGAGGACACTGGCGGCTCTGGTTGTTAAACCTCGGATTTCTCCTCACTTCCATCCACAGGGCCTCTGGATTTGGGGTCACCAGACGCCGGCCTGGCACTGGCTCCTCCGGGGAGGGGGACGTGGAGGGGATGTGGCCAGCCTGCTTGGTGGCTACTGACACCTGTCCACTGTGCTTCCCTGCTCCCCGCTTCCTCTGCTAGATGGGGGTGGAGAGTCTTGGGGGGCACTTCTGAGCCATCCCTGGTGCAACTGGCAGTGCCGGCTGGGGGACTCAGAGCGACCTGTCCTGAAGGGCGGGCATGGGGGAACTGTGCAGTCCCACAGGAGCCACTAGGGGCTGGGCGTCATTGGTCCTCGATCAGCTAAGGACTAAGAGTCTTGGACCCGTCACATCTGCCAGGGGTGCTCTCCTGAGACTCCATCTGCATGTGAGGACCAGTCCCACTGCCACGCAGTCCGTGGCCAGAACAGCGCGCTGAACGGGGAGGTCGTGAGCTGCCAAGCCCATCCTGAGGTCGGTCCCGAAAGCCTGCCCCCACCTGCTTCCAGGCACAGCCAGTTCCCTGATCATCTCGGACCCTCATGGGGGAGGCTGGGATGACCTGGGGGCTCCCCCAGTGCCCAAGGTTCCCTCGTCCCTGGCAGACGTTGTGTCCTGACGTGGGAGTCCCAGCTGGGTGGACGGGTGGAGGCCAGAAAAAGTTGCATCCCTCACCCGAGCAGCCTTGGTCTCTGTAGGTTCTTTCTGGCTCTGTTAGTTTTTAATTACACCTGTAACGCATGAATACGCTCTCCGCTCTGCGTAGAAGTTGAAAGCCTTCAAGCTAGGGTTTCTGTGCATGTGTGGTCCAGAGCGCAGCTCCAGGCCAGGCCGCCTGGGTGCAGACCCCGGTCCTTGCACTTCCTGTCTGTGTCCCTGGGCAGCTCGGTCTCTACCACGGCAGCTTCATCTGCATGGTGGCGCTGAGCCCAATAGTGTCCACCTCACGGAGTGTGAGTTGGAGATGAGCGGGTGTATAGGATGCTCAGCAGCGCCAGACGTGTGGCGAGCTGGGTCCGAGCCTCTCTGCTGTCCCCGTGGCCCCTGTTGACGTTACCTGGGCCCAGGCCACACACACTGCCCCCCTGTGATGCTGCCACGCGGTTTGCTGTTGGAGGCCATTCCCACTGGTGCCGTGGGCCACCTGGTCTGTGTGCTGCTACGTGGGGTCCACGTGCGGCTGTCCAGGGTGGTCTGGCCACTCGCTCCCATGTTTTCACAGTCACCAACCACATGACAGTGACCGTGGACCTGCCCCTCCCACACGCTCCCGAGTCTCTGGGGAAGGGGATAGCTGGAGGAGGCGGTGTTTGGGGCTCACGTGGGCGTGTTGTCCATTGACGTAGAGCCTGAAGCTGGACCTGGAGGGCCCATTTCCTCACACGGTGGACAGCACTCAGCCTTGTCTCCCACCCCAATCAAAGCGTAGAAATAGTGTCTCTATTGTTTCAATTTGGATTTCTCTGCCTGCTTCTAAGATGCAGCATCCGTATGTGTGTCTTTCGGCCATTTGGGTTTTTTGTTCTACAAAATGCCTGTTTCTATTTTTTGCCCATTTTTATGTTATTTCTCATTTTGATTTATAAGTGGTTCTTTATATATTGTGGATACTAATCCTTTGTAATTACAAATATTTTTTTCCTGTCACTGGCCTTTTTTTTTTTTTTTAAACTTCTGAACTAGGATTCACAGACCATAAAATTCACCTTTATAAAGTGTACAGTTCAGTGGGTTTTAATTATATATCTTTTAACTTTGTGTATGCTTTGTTGGTCAGAAGTTACTAATTTTTTTTGCGTTTTTTTTATCGAGGTGGAATTGACATGTAACATAGTTTCAGGCATACAACATAATGATTCAATATTTATAGATATGTAGTCAATTCATCAGTGTTCTCTTTGTTTATTACTTTGTTTTTTTATGTTTTATTTTAAAAGGCTCCGCCCCAGGTCATAATATAGTTTTAAAATATTTTCTTCAGGACTTTCTTAGTTTTGTTTTATATCCTTTAGGACTTCAACCTGGCGTTTGGTTTGGAGAACGGTACAAGGTGAGGGGTGCTGTTTTTATAGTTCTTTGTAAATTAGCTGGTTGTCCGCAGACGGTGTCCTGAGTAGTCTGTCCTTTCTCTGTTGACTTGAAATCCCATCTAATTCCTACGTGAACAGGGCCTGTGCTTGGATCCTTTCGTTCACTTGGCGCATATTTATTGAACACCTGCTGCATGCCAGGCCCTGTGTAGAGGGCCTGGACTCAGCCCTGAACAGAAGAAAGACCCTTGCGATGCTCCACGCTAGTGGGTAGAGGCTCTGTGTGTTCCTTTGCCAACATCAGACTTTCAGTTTTATATGTTTTTGTATTAGAACAGAAACGACTCTTTTGTTCTTTTAAGAAGTGGTCTTGGCCCTTGTTGGTAGTTACTCTTCCACATGGATTGCAGAGTCAGCTCGTTAAGACCATGAAAACTCCTGGTGGACTTTGCACTGGAGCCCCTTGAGCTTGGGGGACCTCGCCCCTTTACAAGTCGAGGGACAGAGGTGAGGTCCAGCCACAGATGGTGTTTAAGTTCAGATTGAAGGTAACCACAGTCCGTCCAGCTCCCCCGGTGGCAAGCCGCAGTGCAGGCGGTCACCGGCCACACGTGCTTGGCGGCTGCGTCCCTGGCAGTGCGGGTCCAGGATGGTCCCCCAGCTGCAGAGCCCGCCGTTGGATGACGCGGGTCTCGCATGCAGAGAGGGGCGGGTGGCAGGCTGGCTCCTCCGAGTGGCGTGCGGGGCAGGTGTTGGGAGGTCGTGCCAGCTACAAGCTCCGGCCGTCCTCAGTCTTCTCCTCCTCGGCCTTGGTTGTCCACCTAGGGGGTTGTTTGGAGGATTGAAGGCGCAACCACAGCGCTGTGGCCACCGGCCATCTCCCAAGTCTCACCAGGCCCAGAAAGGGCTGGCGGTCCGACCCGAGTAGATAGAGGGCCAGGCCCTGTGCGGGGCTAGCGAAGCTGGGAGCCGGATGCCCCTGAGCAGGCCCTGGAGCCGCTGGGCGAGGATGCACACTGAGCAGCCTGCTGCCCGAGGCCGGGGCCCCTCCCTCGGAGGCCGGACCTTAGCGCCTCTGTCCTTTCCCTTCCTGGCACCCTTCTCTCACCTCCACCTGTCCACTGCCCACCTCTGTTCTGCACGCTCTCCCTGTGGGTCTCCCCTCCCCCCACCATTTCCCTCCCTCCCCAGCCCCTACCCAGGCCCACACCCAGGCTGCCTTTCAAACAGTTCTCAGGTCCCACCCACTCCCGGGAGGGAGCTTTCCAGCACAGACACCCGCCCCCTCCAGGGGGTATGTGGAGGGCCTGAGCGCTGGATCCAAAGTGGGTGAGTAGCCGGCTGGGGAGGAGAGAGGGAAAACAAATGAAACCCGAGAAATGAAATAGGGTGGTGGGGAGGGGCTGTCCCCGGGGCCACAGAGGAGGCTGACGCAGTCTGCCTGGCATCCAGATGCGCCTCCCAGGCTCCAGGACTGCACATCCGGCTCACAGCGCTGGGCACCGGGCCGGGGCCGGGAGCCGGGAGCCGAGGCAGGAGGGTTTCAGCCCCAGTTCAGCGTATCCGCTGCAGGGACTCGGCACCCCCGTGCACCCTGAGCCTTGCTGGCTGCGCCCAGAAACTGGCCATGAGGTTCCTGCCCCCACAGGGCGTAATGAGGGTTAGAGACTGTGAAACCAGGAGCCGCTGTCCAGGGTGCAGCGGATGGCAGCTGTTGTGGTCCGCGGGGCTCCTGCGTCCGGAGCCAGTGCAGGGGGCCTGGGGCTCGGGCCTTAGAGGACCCAGGAGGTGGCTTAGCGGACAGAGCAGCATGGAGCACGGGAGTGGCTGATGCCCGCGTGCACTGACACGTGCCCGGTGCTGTTGTACGAGCCCACCGTGCTCACGGGAGACCGTAGGGAGGGGACCGTCACTAGTCCGCTTTACAGTTTGGGTGAGGTGAGGTGCCCAGAGGTAGCTTGCCCGAGGTCCCACGGTCGGTGGATGGCCAGACTGGGATTCACGCCACCGCCGCCTGGCCCCTGAACACACCCTCGTAAAGCCCAGTGCAGGGACTGCGGCCTGGAGCATGGCCTCCGTGGCCCCGCCCGCTCACTGGGCCTCACGTGTGCACTGAGAGTCCAGGGGGCGGAGCCTCATATTTGCGGTGTCCGCCACAGCGGTGGGAGCTGGGGTCCGCACCCCACAGCCCGGAGGGGCACCCAGCGGGACCTCACCGGGCCTGTCACCTGCTTGCCCACGGAGGGCCCTGCTCCTGTGCCCCTCACCTCATCCTCCTCCGCTCCTTCACGCCCCTCCCTCTTGCCCTCGGGCGCGGGCCCAGGTGACCATGGGCCAGGCCAGCCCTCTCCCCACTCTGGACGAGTGTCCTCATCCCCAGAGCCGCCCCTGATGAAATGGTGCCGTCGGAAGGGACTGAGGGCCTCTTGTCTGAGGAGCACGTAAGTCGGGCCTTGGAGACTACTTGGTGTGCCGGGACTCCTGACGGGCAGGGAGCTGCTCACCTGGCCTCCG